AGGAGCTGGTGTTTAATTTGTGTAGCCGGATAGCTCGAAAAAAAGATTCAAATTACTGTACTTTACTAGTATTAATACGCAACACACACGTAACTGGTGTTTATGACTCGGCTGGCTTTCATTCGGCTCGTTCGCAGCTCATATTTGATTTTAATTAACGTAAAATACAGATTTAAATCAGACTTGAGCAGCGTTTATGCAGCAGTTTGTTTCAAACCAACAGGGCCAAGGAGGGAGGAGGTACTCTGTTATAAATGTTGATTTCGTACCAGACATGAATCCTATTTGGGTCTAATCAGAACAGTTTTTGGTGTTTTATGGATCTTGGAAGTCTTGTGTTCTCCAGATGTGGTTCCGACAAACGTTTAACTTGAGAAAAGGTTCCGAGGTGGACTGAAGTTACTGTCAGGGGGCTATTGCACTGAATTTGGGATGATCTTTGACTGAATCCAGATCAAAATCTACATTACTTAAACTGTTCAAACTTGGACTAAGTAGTTTTATGCAAAAAGATAATTGTTTAAAACATAATGTTTGATCTATGAAACATTTATTCTATAGTATTGTTCAATATAGCACTGTTTACAAACCTGACTTAGATGTTGTGGTGATGTATAGATGCAATAACCAAAAGCAATCTGCATAATAAATATCTCTCTTTTTTTAATAAATAGAATAAATTATTCATATACCACAAATATGATTTTAAAGATTTTGCTTAAAGTGTAGAACAACTTAGTTTTGGTCCTAACAGTCTAAATATTGTAGATTTTAAACTAGAGCTGATCAAAGAATGTTTAAACCAGGAATTCCCAACCCTGGTCCTTGAGGAACACCATCTTGCATGTTTTAATTTTTTTTTCTCCTGCTCCAATACACCTGACTCAGTGATTTAATTATTTCCTCATGTTCTGCAGAAGCCTGTAAATCACCAGTTTATTAAAATTAGGTGTGTCTAAGCAGAGAAACTAAAATATGCAGGATGGTGTTCCTCAAGGACCAGTGTTTGGAACCCCTGAGAGCCCTTTACTGTGAAATCAGATGCTAACTTCAGTGCGCTAGCTGACACAAATTAAACCAACATGTTCCTCCTCTGCAGCCTCCTCTCTCCCTCTCTCCTCCCTGCGCCTCCTCATCCCTCCCCTCCGCCTCCTGACGGCAGCTATGTGGCAGGTGGTCCAGCAGCAAAGCATGAAGCATTACGGGATGCTGGAGGACTTTGTTTCCATGGTGACTGAGGCCGTCCCACAGCTGTTGACAGACAGGCAGAGGGGTCTACTGCTGTTGGCTCTGAGGGCCAAGGTGGGATTTTATTACAAATTATTCAAAACCACGGTATCGAAGGAGGACAACAATAATGTTAGTGACTGGAATTCTTGTGTTTCTTTTACTAAAACTGTTCAGACTGATAATTTAGTCCAATTTCAGGCCAGCAAACAGGCACAGTTCCTCTGTTGCATTGTGGGAAAGGGATGTTGGTTCTTAAAAATAACAATAGCTCATTTGAACTGTGAATGTGATAAAAAAAAAAAATAATAAAAAAAAAACAGTATGAGAGGGAAATGACTTCCTGACCGTTTTGTTCTTTGTTTTCAGGTGACCCTCTGTGATCCAGCAGATGTTCAGACTCACCAGAACAGGATCCAATTTGTCTCGAAGTCATCGGTGAGGACTCCTCCAGACCACATCTGTTCCCAGTGATTTTTTGCCAACAAATAAACAAAGTTAAGAGGTGTACTGTGTTGAAAAATAAAACAGTGAGGAAAGATGGCTGCCACAGGACCAGTACACATAAAACTGCTGGTCTGCTCCCAAACCAGTTGTTGGATTTGATTCTTCCTCTTTGATGATCTCACTGAGCTGCTCCGTCATCAAACTGTTTGTTTGTTGTCTCGGCAGCAGGATGAAGATGTAAACAGATGCTGCTCCGCTCTGCTCACTCTCACCAACAAACTGACAGAGACACCAGCCGACGCTCAGCGCCTCCTGCAGGTCGGTGCTTCAAACCTGCGTTGTCTTCATCGATCCACCATCGTCATCGTTCCACCATCGTCATCGTCTTGATCCTCTCTGTGTTTCTCCTCCAGGAAGTGTTTGACCAGAGTTTTGACGCCGCCCTGAACTCCCTCATATCGGACTTCCTGTCCCGGATCGAGCAGCTGTTCCCCGTCCCCACCTTCAGACAGGTGCTCAGTTTGAGAGCTCCTCTTCCTTCCTGTGACATGCTGTCTTTGAGACTGCTCAGATTTGTTGTCAGAAATTCATTTCAGGTGATTTGATTGACGGTGGTCATCTCTAACCCCTCAGAAATATACACACGTTTGTGGTTTTTAAGGACTTTTTGGGGAGAACACTTTTTCCTAACATCCGATCACCAGAAAAATTGTCCGTTTTTTATTTGACATGCTGAAAACATTTCTCGGTGCAGCCAGGGGGCGAAGGGAGTCCAGTTCGGTGGCCTCAGGATTCCACCTCTGCTCTTTGCAGATGATCTAGTCCTGTTGGCGTCATCGTTCCGTGATCTTCAGCTCGCACTGGAGCGGTTCTCAGCTGAGTGTGAAGCGGCCGGGATGAGATTCAGCACCTCCAACTCTGAGGCCATGGTCCTCAGTAAGAAAAGGGTGGATTGCGCTCTTCAGGTCGAGGGTGAAGTTCTGCCTCAAGTGGAGGAGTCCAAGTGTCTCGGGGTTTTGTTCACAAGTGAGGGAAGAATGGAGCGTGAGATTGGCAGACGGATTGGTGCAGCGTCTGCAGTATTGCGGACTCTGTACCGGTCCGTTGTGGTGAAGAGAGAGCTGAGCTGTAAGGCAAAGCTCTCCGTTTACTGGTCGGTCTACGTTCCTACCCTCACCTATCATGAGCTCTGACCGAAAGAATGAGGCGGTTGAAAAGAGTTTCCTCCACAGAGTAGCTGGACTCTCCATTAGAGATAGAAGTGTTTCCCCTAGATAACAGGGCGCTCATCTCATCTTGGGGGCGGGAGACACATCTTAGCTGCGTGCTGTTTGTACCGACAGTTTTCGAGCAGAGGGTGGGGGGATCCAGCGTGAGGGAAGAGGCAGCCCGAGTGCTGCATTTAGCTTCTTAGCTAGCACACCTGTATTGCGTACCGCTACGTGATTGCTACGTGTATCCAGATGGTGGGTGGGATTTCGGTTCGGTAGGCGGGGCGCTCGGTTCTGTTGATGGGGCGGGGCGCCCCGCTTGTATAATGGTAGTGGAAAAACTGGATAGGGTGAGAAGTTCAGTTCTCTGGGAGAGACTCGGAGGAGAACCACTGCTCCTCCATATCCGAGATGAGCCAGTTGAGGTGGTTCTGGCATGTCTGACTGGGAGGAGACCCAGGACACGCTGGAGAGACTATGTCACTCAGTTGGCTTGGGAATGTCCTGGAGTCCTCCCAGAAGAGCTGGAAGAGGTGGCTGTGGAAAGAGATGTTTGGGCCTTCCTGCTCAAGCTGCTGCCCCCGCGACCCGACTTCAGAACAAGCAAAAGATGGATGGATGGAGAAAACAAGTCTGACTTCAAAATTACAATTTATCTTTCAGCATTTGGGTATATTTGACCATCAAACTGTCTGTTGATCCTTTTGCTCTTATTGAGTTAATGGAGTTCATCACACGATAATAATTTTTTATGGATATTTTCTGCTAGCTATTTTAATTGTCCATCTAAGGAGTTTTTGACCTGTAAATGACAGCTAGACAAAGCCACACCTGAGCACGCTGTAATCCACTCTGTGCTCAGTTATTCTCATTTCCTATTTAGCAGCAACACCTTTGACTTCCTGTCAGTATGTTGAGCTGCTGTCATTTTATTCCTCAGCAAAGATCTCTGATTTTTTTTTGTTTGTTTGCTTAAATTAGAAACAGATTTGGTGCATAATTATTCTTACCAAAATAAAAAAATGACAACCGACAAGATGCAGTTAATTATTATAAGAGAAGTGTTTGTTTTAAGAGAAATCACAAGTTAGATGTTCTCCTGCAGAGCTGAGAAGTGGGCGTGGCCAAGAGCGCTTGCAGGTGGCAAAGAGCAGAGGAGTCAGGAAGCCGAAATCACGACATTCTGTGCTCTTTTAGAGCGTTTAGAGTTTAGAAACATTGTTTAGAATATTGCAAGAGTGAGGGAAGGGTTTAAAAAGCATTAATATGTATCTACTGTATATAAATAATAAAATAAACTTCTACTTTTACTACTATTCCTACTTTGTGGATTTTCACCCATCGCAGGGCTTCAGGGTACGGATCCCCCGTGATAAACAAGGGACTACTGTATTATAAAAAGCTATTGCTCTGTGGTTAAGAGGTGTTTTCAGAACACCTCAGACATTTTGATTAAGAAGGAATTGGATAAACAGGTTATGAAAACGTTTAGCTTTAAAACAAATAAGAAGGGAAATGTCCAGAATATTCTAAAGGTTCTTTAAATGTCTATAAGCAGTCTGCAGCTGAGCTGATATTTTTGTCATGGTGGTTCAGTGGGTGGTCCTACAGCTCGACTCTGGACGGATGATGTTCAGACGACAGATTCAAGGATACAAACATATTAATGCGCGTTCAAGCAGTTCAAACCTGAGTTTAACGCTATCCGATCGCCTAAAAACTGTTTTGAATGACAAGTTTGAACATCCTGTGTGTCCTGCAGGCTGCCTCTTGGCTTGATGGCGCCCCCGCTGCTGTGGAGGACTTCCTTCAAGACAGGAAACACCTGAAGGAGCTTCTGACCAATCAGAGCTGCTGTGTGGGGCGAGCAACAACCACAGGTACAAACATTTGACTTGAAACATACCTGAAACCGACAAAGGTCTGAAGTGGTTCTAACATTCTCAGTGAGTAAAGACACGGAGACGACCCTCCTCTGCGTCTGGTCCCACTCCTTCTTCACCAAACCAACAAACCCTGACCCGCCTACTAGCCACAGAACTGTCCAATCAGATGCTGTCCCTGATGAAGGCGGTCCTTTGCAGCAGGAGCAGGTGAAGGTGGAGGTGGTGGTGAGCATGGAGGAGGCTGCGATTGTTCTGACAGAGCAGGAGGTGTCCAATCAGAGCTCAGACACACCTGAGGTCCTGGACAGGTGAGAGTCTGATTCCAGTTCTGTTACTGAGTCCAAACACACCTGTGTAATAATCCAACTTCCTGTCAGGTCAAAGGACTCACCTGGGAACTGTGTCAGCCAATCAGAAGGCTCAGGTAACAAACACACACACATATACACACATGGACTGACGCAGTGCACTGAAACTTCCTGTCTCCACAGCTGAAGTACCAGCCGGCACCCTGTACAGCATTTCCCACAATTCTCAGCGTGTGGCTCACAGGTGTCCTCAGTGTGGGAAGTGTTTTATCTACAGGTCTCAGGTGAGCTCGTTGACCTGAACCCGTTTCTCTTCGGTTCATTCAGGAAGTCTTTAAAACAAACGTGCCTTACAGGTAATTCGCCACCTGCGCTCGAACCGGGCCTGTGGGTTGGCCTCAACACCCGGCGCTGTGAAGACTCAAGCTGAAGAGGAGCACTGCTCGTTAGAGCCCCGCCCTGTCAGGACCTACACCTGCTTCCAGTGCAGCACGGCGTTTAAAAGCGACGACGAGCTTCTGTCGCACCAGCGTTCGCACCGAGCGCGCCCTGTTTATCAGTGCGTCCAGTGCGACCGGGCGTTCCACCACCTGTCCAGCCTGACCAATCACAAGCAGACACACCTGGACAAAGAGGGCTTCGCCTGCAGCAGGTGCAACAAGATGTTCGAGTCCGCTAAAGAGCGGGATGCCCACCGTTTGCAGCACCGCCAGCCGGGCCTCGGCTGCTTCGTGTGCTCCGTGTGCTCGCAGACGTTTAGCTCGCAGATGCCGCTGCTGCGACACCAGCAGTCGCATTCGGCCGAGGGAGCCGAGCTCCGCTACAGCTGCCGCTTCTGTGAGAAGACCTTCTCAGGTGAGGCCTACAGGCACACCCCTGACACTGCGTTCAGACAGTGCAAACTTAGTTTCAGGGACTAATCATCATCATCATTTCTTTCTTTATAACGTTATAACTCTTAACTTTAAAACTTTCTTTATAAAGCGCCTGCCACAGCTGAAACAAAGTGCTGAACATCAGTTAAAAACAAGATAAAAAAAAGAGCATAAAAGCAAAGCTACAAAGCCAAGCACACAGTGAACTAAAAACTCAGTTTAAAACACAATAAAACGACGAGTTAAATAGATCAAATCAATACCAATAAAAATGAAGTAAAATCAAGTCTCGGGTTGAAGGTCACTGAGTAGAGATGAGTTTTCAGACGGGTTTTAAAAATGGACAGTGAAGGGGCCTGTCGAATGTGCAAAGGCAGAGCGTTCCATAACTTCGGGGCACTAACAGAGAAGGCCCTGTCTCCTCAAAGCTTCCTCTTACTCTTGGGAATGACCAGAAGCAGCTTTTCAGCGGACCTGAGTGACCGGGGGGAGTGTAGTGGTGGAGAAGCTCGGTTAAATAAGGCGCGGCAAGGCTGTTTAAAACCTTAAAAACAAACAAAAGAATTTTTGAAATGAACTCTAAAATACACGGGCAGCCAGTGGAGAGAAGCCAGGACAGGCATGATATGCTCCCTTTTGTGTGTTCCAGTTAAAAGGCATGCAGCAGCATTTTACACCAGCTGCAGACGTGTAAGTGAGGACTGGCTGACTCCGAGATAGAGGGAATTACAGTAATCCAGCCATGATGAAATGAAAGCATGGATTACTGTTTCAAACTGTTGCCTTGAAAGAATAGGTTTTACCTTTTGCTAATTTTCTCAAATATCATGACATTGTCAGGGGTTTTAAGTCAACTGGAGGGCTCGAACAAGCTCCGCTAGATCCCAAAACGAGTACCTCTGTCTTTGTTTCATTAAAATGCAGGAAGTTTATGGCCATCCAAGCTTTAAGATCCTCAAGACACGATAAGGGGTTTAATGGACCAAGCATCAACTCGCCTTAAAGGCACATAGATTTGGCAATCATCAGCGTTGCGGTGAAAGGAGATGCCATGTTTTCTAAATATGGATCCTAGAGGAAGTAGATGTAAAGGAAAAAGCAAAGACCCTAAAATTGATCTCTGAGGAATCCCATATGACAGAGGAGCAGAAAAGGATTCACACCCAGCAATTTTTACAGAAAATGTTCTTTCTGCCAGATGGGACTCCAACCACTCCAGAACCTACTTGGTAGACATCGGTGGGACTGGTAAAAAAAACTTGGTAAAAGAAACAGCATTCACATTGTGATGGTCTGGTTTCTTTGTATCAGTTTTCTGCTGGTATTTAGCATGGAAGTACTTCTTCAACCTCTTATCTGTCAAAATGTTGGGCTTGTTTAGATGTGCGCTGTATGTGTAAAGCCAGTTTCTGGGAATTCTACAGAGGGCTGGCTTGAAACACATCAAGGAGGTGCTATTTGTAAGACAGATCTGGGTTGGCAGGCCTCAGACTGATGAAGTCTTTTGGATGAAAGACGAAATGTTTCCTAAAAAGAATCTGTCCAGATGACATGATTTAACCCTTTTTTGTGCTATTATATTTTAAACTTCAAAGTTCATGCTCAATAATCCAGGTAAAAAAATCCAACAAAGTTAAGTCCGGTCATCTGGACAGTTTATTTTTGTTGAGCCGTTTCGTCCTTCAGCCAAAGGACTTCGTCAGTCCGAACGTTTCAACAAAAACAACAAAAAAAGAAACTGTCCAGAGGACCTGACAACGTTTTTGGATTTCTTTATCTGGATTATTGAGCATGAACTTTGATGTTTTGAACCACTTTGGCTATGGCTGCCTCAGAGGAGTCAACGAGAAGTGGGCGGACCCCATAAACCATCTTATTACCATCAAACTGGTTGGTCCACTATTGCCCCTTTTCCACAGTTCCTCCTTGGCCCCGCTTTACCGCTCAGGCCGGTTCTGTGCTCTTTCACAGGGCCTTCTTTGTGGAACTGGCCTGTTTTTTCAGTACCTACTTCTCTGCGGTTCCATTGAGGCCAAACAGGACCCTAAAACGTGACGTCAGCGCATTGTTGGTTACTGATTGGTCAGGGGGCGGAGTCATTGGTCAGAGGGCGGAGTTTCAGAAACTTCCACCTCAATCCAATCCACCATTTTCTTTTTAACCCACCATTAGAAAAAACTCGAATCTGGAGGAGCATGTTTTGGAGTATTTTGAAGGTATAAACGAACAATAATGTCACAACTGTGGTCAAATGCTGAAGTTCAGGCGTTTTTGTGTTTGCTTGCAGACGAAAAAGTTCAGAGAGAGCTAGATGGAGCGACACGTAACGAGAAGGTTTATAAAGAGTGTCGGTGTGTTGATAATAATGATCCACCCACTAAAGGGGCACTAATGGGCACTGTGGAAACGGGAAATGAAGCGATCCGACCTGTACTGACCCGATAAGGGCTGAGCCAAGCAGGACCTACGGAAAAGTGGCATATGTGAGTAAGCCACTTATGGGACTGAGTTTGTTTGTGGCTCCTCGGACTGATGAAGTTCTTTGGATGAAGGACAAAACGTTTCAACACAAAAATGAAAGAAACCATCCAGATGACCTGAATTAACTTTAATTTTTGTAACTTATATACTTTTCAAAATATTTATTGTGCAAATATTTTTCCTCTTAAAATACATTGAGGTCTCTTCAACTCTGAGTCATTCAGTGATCTGCACTCTGCAGGAAATTCAGTTTCCATACTTTGCTTTGTATTCCAGAAGCAGTTCAGATTATTTAAAGCTTAATTTGTATTTTAGTTTTATCTCCGTTTCTTTCTGCCTGTCCTGTTTGTGTTGTAGGAGTAACTCAGCTCCGGATCCATCAGCGCACACACACCTCTCGCTCGTACCGCTGCAATCAGTGCAACAAGTTGTACAGCTCGTCTACGGGGCTGCAGTCCCACCAAGCCACTCACAGCAGCGACAGCCGCTTCCTGTGTCCGCAGTGCGGCAAACGTTTCAAGACCCGAGAAGGCCTAGAGGGCCACCTGAGGACCCACACAGGAGAACGCCCTTTCCGCTGCCCCCACTGCCCTAAAGACTTCACCGCACTCGCAGGCCTCAACGTGCACGTACGGCAGCACACCGGAGAGAGGCCGTACACGTGCACGGTATGCGGGAAGGCGTGGCCATCTGGAGGAGACCTACAAAAACACATGAGGATTCACACTGGAGAGAAACCGTACGTCTGCCAGGACTGTGGGAAGGCCTTCTCCATCTCCTGTCACCTGACAGAACACCGCCGCATCCACACAGGTGAGACGGGGTCCACACAGGTCGAGCAGGGTCCACACAGGTGAGACGGGGTCCACACAGGTGAGACGGGGTCCACAAAAGTGATGCAGGAAATCAGCCTCACAATGTCTGTCATTTGCTACAAACAGTACAAGACTTATCAGAAACATGTTGCGAGAAGCGTTTAGGAAAAGTAGAAAAAAAGAAGTGAGTCATGTTTATAAAAATAAATAAAACATGAAGTTTCTTTTCTGCAGGAGAGAAGCCGTACTGTTGTCCGGAATGTGGAAAATGCTTACGGAGGAAGTTTGACCTGAAGAAGCACATTTTGTCCCACAGTAATGTGCGTCCATACGCCTGCATCCTCTGCTCTAAAAGCTACACTCGTCAGACCCACCTGAACCGACACCTGCTGAGCCACAGAGCTGCTGACGGACAGGTGGTGGAGGTGGAGACGACTGAGGAGACATGACCTCCGGTCATATTCACCTGAACAAACACCTGCTGACTGACGGAGACAAATGAAGACAACTGAGGACTGAACCTTGAGAATCTGTTATTTTCCAGCATTTATTTCTGAAATTCCTGTTTTTCCACAAAGAGACTGATCAAACTAGAGGTGAAGATTATTTTGGACAAACTTTATTAGCATCATTTATTCATCAACAGGCAAAACAGGAAGTGACTGGGATTCATTCTGAGTTTGCGTCTACTCGTCGTCTCCTGTCTTTTCGATAACTTTCTTGATCCACCTGGCCATCCTGAACAGATGGGTGTAGAAGCCGTACTTTCCGTCGCGGTCACAACCTTCGCCCCAGGACACGATACCGATCTGGTACCAGCGGTTCTCTGCTGGATACTGCACAGAAAAGCACAAATCAGCAGCTGGTAACCAGGAAGTAATGAGATTGAAGGATGGGAGCTGGAAGTTTATAATCAAATCTGTAAGAAAACTTGGAGCTAAAATCAGAAGAAAAAAAACAATCTGAGGACCTTCAGATGCAGAAAGTTTTGCCTTTTTTTTTTTTTTTTTTTTTTTGTCTAAACTAAAGCCAGAATAAAACGTTTTACGTTTTCATGTGTTTCTGTTCAACATTTTGTTCTTGTTTTATACTAATTTTTCAAAATCCTTAATGAATCATATCAAATCATTTGCAACGATTTACATATTTCATACACGTTTAGTTACAGAGCTTGGCCTTTTTAAATCGAAGCTTAAGACTTTTTTTTTATTCCAACAGGCTTTTAGTACTTAACTGTGGTGCCATTTTGGGTTTTCCTTTTGTTATTGTGTTTTTCTTGCTTTTAACTTATGTTAATTACTGTCTTTAAGCACTTTGATCATCGTCACTGTGGTTGTGTAAAGTGCTATAGAAATTAAATGAAATAATATTTATATTCACAACGGAACAGCGTAGTATATCGAGTCTTGAAACTGAGAAAATGAACAGTTTAAAAAATGGTCTATCTTCCTCCTATCCGCCACTTGCTTACATCTACAGCCACCTCTTCCAGTTCTGGGAGGATTCCAAATGTTCCCAGACCAGCCAAGGAACGTAAGTCATTCCAGCATGTCCTGGGTCTTCTCCAGCGTATCTTCCAGTTGGACACGCCCAGAACACCATCTTGGTGGGAGCGTCCAGGAGGCATCTTTTCCAGATGCCTGAACCTCAACTGGTTCCTCTAGATGTGGAGGACCAGCAGCTCTACTCCCAGTCTTTCCCAGATAACTGAACGTCTCACCTTATCTCCAAGGGAGAGAATCCAGCTACGCTGCAGAGAAAACTCATTTTGACCATTTATATCTGCGACTCCGCTCTTCCAGTCACTACCCAGAGTTTGAGACTATAGGTTATAGTAGGAGCACAGACCGGCCAATAAACAGAGCGGCAAATAGCGATAAAATCACAGAACTGGATCTCTTCCACCTTCTGGTTGCACCTAGAAATTGTGTTCATCAAAGTTATGAACAGGATCAATGACATTGGACAGCCCTTGTGGAGTCCGACCCCAACTCGGAAGGAGTCCAACTTACTGCGAGCAATGCGAACCAGACTTGCATTGTTTGCATAGCCCACGGTGTATCTCATGGAACACGACTGAATGGCTCCTTAAAGTCCACAAAATACATGTTGACTGGTTGGGCGAACTCCTATACCCCCTGAAGGGTCAAAATGTGAGTAAAGAGCTGATCTATTGGTCCATGTTCAGGATGTAATCCACATTGTTCCTCCTTAATCCAAGGTTTGCCTATGGACTGAACTCCCAGCACCTTGGAATAGACCTTACCATGGAGGCTATGGAGGGACTATTGGGACTTACTGGCCCAGTCACTATAGACGTTCGCTGACACAGACCTGGCTCCAGGGTGGGACCCCAGTATCCCAAGTCTAGACAAGGGACATTGAGCTCCTTGTCTTCTGTCAATACAAGTATCGTGAACCACTCTTTTCTTGCTTGTAGGACCAATCTACCTAGGGAGACCCTGCCAACAGCGTAGCTTCTATTCAGGCACACAAATCACCACAGTAAGGTGGCAATTCATGAAAAAAGATTAAAAAAAAAGAAGCAATTTTTCTAAAAGTTGGGCTAATTTTTATAGTTTCAACATTTGATATGTTTACTATGTTCCATTGTGAAAGAAATATGGGTAAATGAGATTTGCAAATACAGTAATTGCATTCTGTTTTTACACTTTTTCACAAAGTCTTTTCTGAATTGGCTTGTAAAACCCTATATAGGATTGGGAGTTATTACTCTTCTGGAAACATTAAATTCAGAAAAAAAAAAAATCCATAAAAAGCCTGATAAAATTTTTATTTGATTTAAAGAAATGTTGATTTTTGAAGATTATGAGGATTCAGGAATAAGCTATTTTTTTCAGCTGGTTACACTTTTAGTTGATGTTCAGCCATTATGACCATCACACTGAAGTTTATTAAAAATAAAACTTTAACCCCCTGAAACAGTATCGGATTAAACAGGAACAAACAGGTCTTTAAATGCAGCTCCTGATAATCTCCAATGACTTCATAGGAACAAATAAAAACCAAGAGTACCATGATGTTGACGGGTTACATAAATGCTGTTAAAGGTTTTACTGGATCTGACAGCAGCAGTTCATCAGTGAGTAGAAAACCTTTGTTTCACTCTAAAACAATATTCAACGCTGACGACGTGAAACTAACTTTAGATTCGACAAAGAAATATTTTTCTTGTAAACTGATGTAAATCTGATTTAACTCCATTGGAAACACTCCCTGCTGGTCATTAGGCAAAAATGCAGGATCGACTTTATTTTTCTTTAATATTCACTTTATGATGGGCATAAAAAGTGTCAACAGAACCTCAGATTTATAGCGTTATTCATCAGTGCCAGTAAAACCTTCAGCTGTGGTCGTTTTCAGTGGATACTAAATAAACAAAGGGTGCAGTAATTTATTACATCCGGGTTAGTTTATACTGATTATCTTATTAATAATGGTTAGAAGCTGTTATTGGTTCACTATTACGTTTCTTACTTTCATTACAAACGGTCCTCCACTGTCGCCCTCGCAGGCGTCACCGTTTTGGTTTTCTTCTGGTTTAAAACCTGCAAACAAACAACGATGAAGTAACAATGAAGGAAATCTCAACAAGGTTACATTTATGTAGAATAAGAATATCCTGAAAACATTTTTAAATCGACTTGATTACTTTAGGATTAAACATATATTTTTTTAATTTTCATCCAATGATGGGGAGAATTTTTTGTTTTTCTTTCGGCTGCTCCCTTTGGGAGTCGCCACAGCGAACGGACTTGCACAAAGACTTGGCAATGGTTTTTACACCGATGCCCTTCCTGACACAACCACAGACCACCGAGCTACCACAGCCCTCTGTGTGGAGCAGAGAGCTGCTATCTAGAGCGCCCGGGGGAGCAGATGGTGGGGGTTAAAGGCCTTGCTCAAGGGCCCAGAGTGGGGGAAATGAGGGGGGAGGCAGGTGTGGGTGTTTCACCTTTCCCACCCACATTTTGATGCTGCCAGGACTTGGAACTGGAAACCTTCTAATCACAGGCCCACCTTTTCTAGCCTCTGTGCCACCACTTCCTTGTTGATGTTGAGAGCAAAGGTGGTAAATTAAAATATAGTATTCAGATTTGTGAGATGGGAACCGTCAATCTTTACAGCAAATTTAGTCCCAAGTTTGTCTAATAACCTATGATGGAAGCACAGTTGATGCCAAAGAAGAGATGTTTACCCATAATGCACAGTAATATATTAGCATAAACACGTCATGCCATCAGTCATGCATGGTGGTGGAAGAGCAGAGGTTTCTGTTCTCAGTCCCCCCCCCCCCCACACACACACACTCACGCAATAAATAAAAAAGTACGAAGCAGGAATAGTAGTACAAGTAGAAAGTTGTAGTATATAT